GACGATATTTGATAAAACTGTTCAGAACACCGTACCCTAACTCAAGTCTTCTGCGCGCCACTGTACAACAGTCGCTGGGTCTCTCACGAGCAACCTTTGCTATAACATAAGATCAGTTTCCCCACTATGACAATACTGCTAATTATCTCATATGGCACTATATTTGATTATAAATATTGTAAACATTGAGACAGCATTGTCAATATTCAGATGGCCCCATTGACACAATTTAATTAATTTAATTATTAGAAGACGGATCACCTGCAGCCTCAATACAGCACGCCAGCATCTCACAAGAAAACGCCAGATGCTAGATACAGTCACCCCCCCCCCTGACTTGCCCCATGCCCCATGAGAATCTAAGACATGCTTCTTGCATGCTGAGCCCAATCAAGATCATCAAGTGCCATACTTGCCACAGCCATCGGCGATCACGGCTCTCCATTCATTCATTTGCTCAGATGTTCTTATAAAACTATGTATTTTTTTGGTCCTTTGCCCATTTCTATGATATTGACGCCATCTGATGAGTTGATGATTGTGTCCAATAGTGTATTACGTACACATTGTTATAACATGTAAGGGTAACATATAGATGTTCAAGATAATTACAGATGCATGTGAAGGATCTTAGAGCAATGGTGATTTTAGAAATGACGGTAGTGGTGGTGATACGTAATGATGTGGGAAGTTGTTTGTATAAATAATTATTAAGAAGACATGCTTCTGCTTGTTGAGTTTTAAAAATGTTAGCATTAGTCTTATCTTCCTCTTCTCTGTTAAGTCACAAGGGTTGTGGGCACCCTCTATCCCGTTCCCTTCTGGAATCATCTTTAATGTCACCGTGAAATTCCGAAATGGTGGGCACAGTCTCTGCTAAGGTGACCTTGATAGTATTAGCCTCTTCTGCAGGCCAAGACAAATGAAGAGAGGACCTAATCAGGTAGACAGTGCAGTGGCAGGTATGTTGGGGATTTCGTAAGCGGGTTGTAGGTAGCAAGTTGACAACCAGCTTATAGACTTAACAATATACAGGGGTCATATTTTACTCGCTAACCATGTATCCCAGTTATTCCTTTCGAGTCTTATTCAAACATGAGGCTGGGGAGATTCCGACATAGGATCCTCGAACCCGAGTTGAGAGGGAACAATTTACACCCAATATTGTATCCCCTCCCCTCAGGGGGAGCGTTCGAAAAAGCTACATAATTATCCTGACTTTTCTTCGTCGTTCTCTAAATAAGTTGCTTTGGGTATTTCCCTGCCTCGTTTACCTTCAATTTTGCCAGTGAGAGCTAGATGTTCAAGGTCTTTATGCCTATTCAAGTGTCCTAGAAACAGAACCAGCTGTTTTTTTCTCCCCAGATTGTTTTTATCAGAGAGCAGCTCATGTGGGCTTCTTTAAGGAACAAACTTACGATAAAAAAGACAAAAATCTGACCCACCGCCCACAGTTGCATCTTCTTTCGATACGACACGGTATAAGAGGGTAGCAAAAGTAAAACGGTAAGCAATAAAACACACTTGTAACAGTTTGCGTTATTATTTACAGTTAATGACTTTGGGAAGTATACGTCACGAGTAATAGCAATACCTATTCACCGATTTGCCTAACGTGTTTTTCCGATTAACTTTGGCACTGTGACTCTTAAAACCTGGAAACTTTAAACCTTATTCAGGGTATTCACATTTAAAAGGGAAATGTTCCGTGCGGAGTTTCATTGGAGAATCGAAAAAGAGTTAGATGAATAACGTACGAGTTAGATTGTTAATCGATTCCACGCATTGGCACAATACTTAATGATTTCGCGAAATGCGAGCTTACTTCAATGGAATGTTCGTAACATTTTTTTTCTCAGGCATTCCACTTATGCCAAAAATGTTTTTAAAAATCGAAGTATCGGAGATATCTACGAAGGAATTTTGTTGCACGTTGAGTTCAGCAAAGCTAAATTACGCCAATGCACTATGCCTTGTTTTTATTTTATCACACACGCATAGAAAGACACTAACATTAACACACGCACACACGCACGCTCGAGCACGCGCACACAAACAAATACACGCACTTACAGACACAAAGAAGAAGAAGAAGAAGAATAAGAAAAAGAAGAAGAAGAAGAAGAAGAAGAAGAAGAAGAAGAAGAAGAAGAAGAAGAAGACAAAGAAGAAGAAGAAGAAGAAGAAGAAAAGGGGGCATAGTTATCAGTCTTACAGCATTTATTTCTGTCTTGGTGTTCAGTTTTAGTCAAAGTTTTACGGCATTCGCAATTCAATAAGGTCATATGAGTGCCAAAAATTAGAAGTGCTACAAGAGAATAACAAACATAAAAAAGGAGGAAGTATCAGGACAATAGATGTTTGATAGGAAAGAAAGAGCAAACCACGCCAGAGCACCCGCCAACCACTCACAGTTCTGTTTCAAAATATCTACCACCTCGACAAATACACACTCGCTAAGACTTGCTATTGTGGGAAACATGTCGTTTTTTTTTAAACCCAATCTTCGACACAACAAAACCGTCTCTGCAGCTGACTGCCTCGATCAAATTGTTTTGGGATATTGGCGGAGAGATGGAGATAGTCAATAAAACATTATCTTTCCCCACATGGGAATTGAACTCGGGTCCTTTGTGTCCGCTGTGTGTGTTGCAAAGCGCTTATCAATACACCACAGACGCCCCTAGGCTGGACGGAAAAGTTTTTCCTTGTCAATAAGAATAACAATAGCGTAAAGCAAATGCAATACTTGTGGCGGCTCAGAATCTATCATTGCCCAGATTACCTGTGTGTGTCTCGTATCCCTTTTGGTTGATCAGTAAAGGTCTAGCTGAATTCTCCCTTTAAAAAATTCTTAAAATGTGTCACGATACGGCGGGATCGGGCTCTAGTCAATTTTTGGGCATATGGAGTAATTGGTATCACCTTAAAACTTGTTAATTTGTGTTGCTTTTCATGAAAAAAAAGCTCGGTAATGTTGAATAGAAGTTGAGAGATTTGCAATTGATTGAGGTTGGGATTGCCTGGTGTCAGATGTAAAATAAGAGAGAAAATGGCCGCCAGAGGTTGGTAAATTCCAAAGCTTGAAGTGTCCTTAGAGTCTACAAATTTATATTTTGTTCGCCTTTGATCAACATTTTGAGACAAGCTCCACGTAGAAATGTATGTTTGAATGGACAAAGAAGGTCTGAGAAATGAAAATCGATAAAAGTTTCTTAACCTGTGAAAAAATATTCTCAGCACTAAGGGACCACTAGTGTGTTGATGTGCTTCTCTTGATGTGGGTGGCTAGAGGGGTGATCTGGTGTGGTCTGCTCCTTCTTTCCTGTAGAAAAAATCTATCGTCCCTATATCTCCTCCTTCTTGTTTGTGTCTGTTGCTCTCTTGTAATACCTCTATTCTTCAGCACATGCATGACCTAATTGTATTGCAAGTGCCTTAAAACGCTTAATAAAACTAAACTTTTTTTTACTTGAACAAAAACGATTCATACCCCTGGACTTTGTAATTTTCATGCCTTTTAAGGCTCTGTCAGCCGTCCCCATTAAACACTGATGTTGGTGGTGCAATGGTTAGGCTCTTCACCGTTGCACACAGGAGACGTAAGCTCGATTCCAAGACGGATACGTTTTTTTAAAAAATCGAGCATTTTCGTCTGTTAATCGGGTTTTCCCTAACTGGCAATGTTAAAGTACCGTGTTTTCCGAATAATCCAAGTTGTATTGATTGGGGCGTAAAATTTAGAATAAAAAAGTCAGCAGAAGACCCCCGCCTTATGGTCCAGCACATGTAAACTTACCTATATTTAATATGTCATCGAAAAATAACCAATTTTCACGTGCACATTCTAGAAATTCCTTCCAAATCATTGGGGGACAACTTATCAATAATACATTCTATTCAACAGTCATAGGTCAAATATTTTAAAATGTCTCCTGAACAAATGGTTCCTGTATCCAAGTATTATCAAAACGATGTTGCCAAGCCAACAGAGTACCAGCCATCAGTAGAAACGATGCTACGTGAGATTAAAAGATGAAGCGTTATTCACTGGAAATAGAACCATAACAATATACCCTAAAGGTCACAATCTCAGAGTGGATATCGATTATTATTTTGTTCTTCAAAGATCGAAAGAGCTGTCTCTCTAGCTTTCAAAAGTAGAGTCGGCAAAGATTTTTGACATTTTGTTTGCTAAATGTAACTAGCTTGAGCATCATAAAATAAATTACTACCGATTCCGTCGACAGTTAGTACTCAAGAGGTCGCTTTTTTATTTCTAATTGAAACGTTCCCAGTCATTATTTTGCTGACGTGCCATACGTTCCAACTAAACTTAACCAATAATCTTTTACATTAGCTGTACGTTCGCGTTAGTTAAGCTGACAACTGCTAAAACTTCGCTGACTTTTTGATGTGCTCATTATTTCAAGGGCAAAGGCCGGTCACAATGTTACCAGTCGTTGAGAGCAGCCTTCTTTCATATACATACACAAGTAGAAATTATACTTCACCGAGCCACAAACATGCACACATGGTATACATATACCATCATATACACAGGTAGCACGCAAGAAGCAATCTTCCAATCCCTTTCATGCTCAAAGAAAAACAAAGAATGAAGATAGATGAATAGATAGATAGATAAAAGGATAGATAGATAGATAGATAGATAGATGGATAGATAGATAGACAGATAGATAGATAGATAGATAGATAGATAGATAGATAGATAGATAGATAGAGAGACACATAGATAGATAGATAAAGAGACTCGCGTCACGACGGTCTTATGTAAGAGATGAACATTCATAAGCAAAAAGGAAAGAAAAAGACATCTTTAAGACACATTACCCCAACCCTTTCCCACTAGTCACAACACTCATAAAGCCAAACAAACAAACAAGCAAACAAACAAACAAACAAACAAACAGACAATCAAACAAACAAACACAAAAACAATCAACCAAACAAAGGAACAAATAAACAATAAGACTAACCTTTTTATCCTCAATGCGAACTGCGTCGTATATCTTCCATATCATCTCCACCCCCGCACTGCCCGTTTGCTTTCCGATAGTGAAGTGCTTGGTGATGGGGTTCACATCGGACCCCATGGAATGTTTAAGCATCGAGAACATGTCCATTGTGCAGGACCAAGGCCTACATCGCTGGCGCCAGCGTCTGTCCTCTCCCTCTTCCTCCTCCTCCCTCACCTCAACCTCCGCGTATTCTCTCGTCCTACCCCAGCCGCCACTTTTACCTCCTCCTCCTCCTCCTCCTCGGCCTCCTCCTCCTGTTCCTCTCCCACCTCCTCCACTGATACTTCCTACTCCTGCTCCTCCTCGAATCCCCTTCCTCCCGCCGCCACCTCCTCCTCCTCCACCTCCTCCTCCTCCCCCCCCCCC